CCTGCCACTGGGAATTTTTTCCGCACATTTCCCTAGGAGGGGGGAGTTCGCCAAGAATGTGCTTAAATGCATGAAAAACGCCAACATTTTTCAAATGGGCCTCCGGGACTTTCTCGGGGGGGGGGGGCTAATGGAAGCCTAATTAGAAATATGTCCGTAATTCCATGGAGCAAAACTCTTATTGTTCAAAATTCGTGAAGGTTTCTGAAAACTATATGTGACTAACCACACAACTAGGGGGCCGCTAGTGAGCCCCCAGTTTTTTGAAAAATTACGTGGGGGTTTTTTTTTACATTGTCGTAAAGGGCTCGTGGGACTCTGACGTGTGTCCCAAGTTTTGCGTCGAAGCCCCTCATTTTTATGCTATCGCAATTTAAAGAAAATGTATAGCGCCACGCCCCCCAAATTTGCGTTTTGTTGGGCACACTTTAAATCTCGAGTTCATAGTCACCCCGAGAGTATGGGTGTAAAGAAGAAAAAAAGGAAATTCGTCCATCCGCTTCCTTGAGTTATAAATTTGGGTGGTGTTTTTTGGCCGCCCCCTTATAGTTTTTTTCAAAATGAAAATGCTTTGGTGCTGCCTATTCTCCAGACTGGACCTGAACCTATCCACCAAAAGTCTGTGATATATGCGATACATTTTTGGGATGAGTTATGAGCATTTATTTTCTAAGCCCCGCATTTTTGCTAGCTACGGGTTTTGGCATTCATGGCGGCAATATTTATCGTGTTAACATGCTCTTTTCTACGGTTAATGTGTACTAACCCTCCGCCGATGCTGTATACGAAGGTTTGGGTGTTCAAAAATAGAAAATTGAAATTTAGCTGAGATATTTCACTGTTTTGAACATTATGCTAATTTTAGGGAAAAAAATAAAAAGGTAGGCGGGAGGCTTAGGGGGCCTCCAAGAGGATTATTTGTAGAACAGGTTCCACCCGCCGATATGCTGGGGTACAAAATTTCGGTCATTCGCGAGTTTACGGTGCGCTTTGCAATTTATTTCCGAAATGGGTTTTTCATAGGTTTGGCTGCTAGCGAGCACCTTTGGACAATTTGGAACCCATTGACTCCAGAATGGTGAATTTTTCACGGGTCCTGGCGTCCGTGCAAAATTATACAACTTTGTGAGCGTTCTAAAGCCCTCAAAAACAGGAAACGCCAGCACTATAATAAGAAGAAGAATTCCACCAATAACAATAGGTTCCTCGCACTTTGTGCTAGGACACCGTTGGGGTCCTAGCACTCCGTGCTCGGGCCCTAATAATAATAATACCACGGAGAACAATAGGTTCCTCGCACTTCGTGCTAGGACGCCGTTGGGTCCTAGCGCTCCGTGCTCGGGCCCTAAATACCACAACATTGTTATACCATTGTACATATTTACAATATATGACATCACTGAATACAGATAAGAGCAAATCATGATAATAAATAAATAAAACATTTACAATACGCACTCATACACACACCTACACATCAGTGCTGACACTGTTGGTTTTCAATGAGCCACTTTTTAATACTGTGCTTGAATGTGTAATAGGATGAGGATTCTCTTATTGGTTGTGGTATTGAATTCCATTGATGGGATGCGTGGAATGAAAAGACAGCCTGGCTGAATGCGCTTTTCCTAAATGGGATGGTGCAGTCTCCCCTAGCCGCACCTCTACTTTACTTTATCATTCATCACGGTATGCATAGCCATGGGCTCCCTGTCTTTGAGACTAGGTAGGGGCCATGAGTACGTGATTACAAATAAATAACCAAAACAAAAACATCACCCGAGCATTCATGATACGCCTGAGGGAGATTTATGAGAGCATAGCAATAATATCAGGACGATAATCTGTATTTATCTTAAACCATATGGGATTAGGACATCCAGTTAAGATTCTAGGCTCAACATTAGCTCATTTTATAGATAGGATCGGTATACCTTTACAGAGCGGAGGTTTACCCGACCATCTCCCATCACTTTTGCAGGTTCTGTGCTCTGATCCCCCGGCTAGATAGAAACCATCCTGACAGGTGTAGATCAGCGTGTATCCCAGAGTGGGCAGCTCCATGGATCGAACATCAACATTACTGGGGGTCTCCGGCTGTCTGCATGAATGAGCTGAGTGACAGGGAAGAGGAAAATAAACAGTGTTAACACTTCTTCATAGAACCAAAATACAACATTTGAACATATACATGAACAGACACTTTGATAATATTAAATAATGCCTAATTATGATAAAACTGCTATTTATTACCGATGCACTCAGGTTGAGTTCCACTCCAGGTTAGGTTTTCTAGGCATGTTCTCGTGGTAGAACCAAGGATGTGATAGTTCTTGCGGCACTTGAAGGAAATCTTACTGCCAACCTGCATAATGTAAAAGCACAATGAATAAATCTTCTTTATTTGCAGCTTCTTAAGACCTGCCACACTCAGCATGGGGTACTTGTCATTAGTTTAAAACATAAAAGCTTTTAACATTCAATTCATTGCTTATTGTTTGATTCTGACAAAACAAGAAACAAAACCAAATAATTTCTTATATAAATTCATCTCTTTTAGAGAGCATATTCTTGTTATCCTGCTCAATGTGGGTAGTAACTGTCTGTTCTCTTTGAAGAGATGGCAGAGGAAATATGAATTGTGGATAATATCCAATTATACCTCCACAAATTGAAGGATTTGCGTGTTTGCTTAAATTCCATTAACACCAAAATCTTCCATCCAACAGGTTCTTATCTGTGCTCCAGACACTCGGTCTCTCAGACAAAAAACAATGCGGCTGTTTGACATCCATGAAGTCTAACTCCCCTCTAATGGGGGGCCACTTTCCCTTACCTTTATTTCTGATGGGCATGTCATGTGTTTGATGATTTCTTGTTTTTCTATCTGATGATCTTGTAAATCTAAAGCCCCCCATTTCTCAGATCGTTTACACATTCATTCATTCATTCATTCTTTCTGCTTGCATTATTGAAACTTCTTTGGGCTTCTTGGTGCATCTTTGAAAGGCAAGCAAGTACCTTTCAACACAAGGCAATTCAAAGTGGGTTACAAAAATGAAAGACATTTAGAGCATTAGAAATAGTGCAGCGAAACACATTATGAAATGGCATTTAAAAACAGTCATTAAAAAGCAAAGAGAATAAAATAAACAAAAACAAGCTAATATATAACAAATACAAGTTACAATGCAGTGTAAGATATGAATAGTTCAATTAAAAGCAGCGGCAAATAGTAAAGTCTTAAGTCTGGATTTAAAACTAGTAAGAGTTGTATCACGTGAAAGTGGTAGACTCCCGCTGCTATTTTCTGACTTGGTATATTCATCTTTACTTTCTTATAACAGCTCCTATTCAACTTCCGATTTGAGCACAGACACCTATTTATCAACCAACTTGCAAGTTGCAAGTTGAATAGAATTGGAGGATGAAACCCTCTTTAATGGTCACACATACACACACAGCACACACAGTGAAATGTGTTATCTGCTTTGAACCCATCCTAGTACTAGGAGCAGCTATTGTACAGCGCCCGGGGAGCAATGGGAGTGGGGGGGCATCCAGTGCCTTGCTCAAGGGCACCACGGCAGGGCCCAGGAGGTGAACTGGGACCTCTCCAAGTACCAGTCCATACTCCATATTTAGGTCTGTTTGTGGACTTGAAGAGGCAACCCTATGGCTCCCAGTCCAAGCTCCTACTGACTGAGCACTGCCAGACAATCAATAATCAATTTTTTTATATTTAAAATGCATAAAATGCAGTATCTCTAAACTTGTGTCTTTTAAAAAAGGATTAACTCATACATTTAAAGTAATTAGGAGGATATACAGTAGCTTTACCAAGTGTAAGGTCAACTGGAGTCTCACCTGAAAGCCCTGGCCCATGACTGGGACCCCATAGGCCGGAGTCCCTGGGTCACGACAGCTGTTGAAGGCTGGGTCTACACACAAACATAAACATTGAGTATTTAGAGTATTATCATTTGAATGTATTGCAGTAAGATTAACATAGTGCAGCTACTAACACTTAGTCATGACAAAAAACCTTCACCTTTAGAGTAAATTGTGTCAGATAAATGTACATTGTCACAAAAGGATAATATTTCACACTGAAATGTAGGTGAAGAAAGTTATAAATTACCACAACTTTATCTGAAAATAATTATTTAATAAAAATACACTTTTCCCCTCACCTACAGCTTTGTGTACCTACACTAATGTGTAGGATACATCATATGACAATGACAAAAGCAAAACAGTCACAAGTGCAATACTGTTTAGGGAACATGGGTACCGCCATGGATATATTTTGACAGATAGTATCTGTATGACAGATAAAAGAGTTATTTACATCAGAGGAACACGACTGAGATCTGTGACCGCTGCAAAGTTGCTGCAAGGCAGCTTTCCATGTTCACTCTTACATCATTATTCAGATTTATTCTGTAATTCCACAACTTTTATTTAAAATAATCTTCATGCTTTCTGAACAGAACAACAACCACAACCCACATTTCATCTACAAAAATGAAGCGCTTTTGAAGATATAATCTTAAAGGAATCAAACGCTGACATCAAAACTACACACTTGAAGCATTGATTAGATGATATCTTTAGCTCTATCTGCACAGGAATACTAATGCTTGAATGTAAAAGAGTAAGCTCCAAAGTCTTGTTTACCAATAATCGGATTTCACAAAATGGTATTATTATATGGTATATCTTGATGAAATGTTTCTCTTTAGCACGAAACAAAATATTTCTTCTTTCTAATTATGGAAAATGTGTTATATGTAATATTTCAAATATTTACATAAACGCTATGTCAATTTATGCATGTTTTTCTGTGTGAATGCTTTGTGTTGATTACTACAATATTCAATATTTCCTTTAGAAAATTAGCATAAAAGAGCTTTGTGCTGTGAAAAAACAAGTTAGTTCACAGCAAGATTTGTTCTATATATCCGTCAAGGCAGACTCATTTCAAAGCTTAGAAATGCTTTGTAATATAACATCACAACATGACACTTCCTTTAACATGTTAGTGTATCATGTGTTGATCTGATATGCAGTCACAGTCTAAAGCTAACCATCATGGAAGTTCACTTTAAACACATAAACAGACTTGCAGTGTGTCCTTGCGGTGGTTTTAAATACCTATACAGACTGGTTGTTGGCCGCTCCAAACCCCTTCAGCCTGACAGGCTCTGGACGCAGAGCCCACCAGCAGGTAGGGCGTGTGGCAGTAGAACCGGACCTCCGCCCTGCATATCAAAACAACATTTTAATTACAAAAACCCCATAACATAACAAAACTTAAGTGAGCAGCAGTAGTACAACTGGGTTTAAAAGTTTCTACTTTATCCTTTGACGTCCAAAGAACAGGTTAGGGTGTCATATGTTCGACTTTTCTGCTCCTTACCTAACTGCCTTGTTGTTTACAACTAGACCTTTGGCCTTTATCTTTTTCTGTTCACAATCTAAAATCCACTTTGTCCTTGCAATGTTTCCGACTGACATCCAGACATGGGCGCTGAAAGAATTCTATTTTTGGAAACAATTTATTGAGTCAACATTTGACAACCACTGTGGAACAAACAACATTTCCTGAGATGGTTTCAGAAAGTAGAGTAAAGCCTCTATATTTTAAGAGATTGTGACACATTGAGACTTCAGCTGTTAACAGTATATTTATGCATCAGTTTTAGTTTACCACAAAACCACAACAAAGTTTGGGTGACAACATATCAGGTGGCATACGGTATTGGTCTATAAAAAAGCCATTTCCTTGTACAGTTAATTCAATCATGCACAGGTATTTAAATATACAAAATGCACATAATTGCTATGTCTACGCACTGACCTGTAAGAGAACATGTTCCCCTCTCTGAATCCACCTCCAGGAGAGCCAGGATCTCCACATAGGACAGCTTAAATAAAACGACGAATACAGTTAGGACCTGTTTTTAGTTCTAGTGCTAACATACTGAAAGAGGAACAATGATGTGTATCAGTTCAGGGTACTGCGTAACACAATAAAGCTAACTCACGCAAGCACTGCGGTACGTCTCCTGTCCACGTCCCGTTCCCCTCACATGTTAACACAGCAGGAGTGGACAACTGGTAACCATGGAAACAACTGTAACTAACACTCGAGGCCCATGAGTAGTCAGTTCCTTCCACTTTCCCGTGGTGCACTTGAACAGGAGGTCCACACTGGATTACTGAAACACACAAACAGGTATGTAAGGATATCATATACCGTCTATTTACACAGCTCAAAGGACAACATGGTGTTACACTTCTGGCTGAAAAGCATTTACTGTCAAAATAAGTGGACGTTGTGACCCATCGGTTTGTGGACCGGGGCTTTAAAACCTTGAGTAAGTAATTTTTTTTCAATGACATCTTATTTTCCTGGAAGCAAAAGTGACACGACAGGATGGAGCCAAGTACAAACAGAACACTGAACAGGACCATTTTATCGACCAAAACGTTTACTGTTTGCTTTGATGAACTGAAAATAAACAGTGAGAGGGGTTAAGCTCTATGACAAACACACAGAGATCACCCAAACCTAACAAAACTAATGTTAAACATGCCCTAAAGCATACAATGCTTTATCTTTTTCACTAACGTTGGAAAGGTGAAAAAGATTCTTTGGAATAGTTGTGTTGGATATTAGAGAACGCAGGTGGAAGACGCTTGCACATAGGTTTTATCACGATCTGTCCGTTGTGTTTTGTCTTGTCTAGATCTGTCTTTGGTTTCCTGTGTGTGTGTTCCCTCCTACCTGATTACCTGATTGTGTTCACCTTGTGCCCCTGTGTTTTCTCCTCCCTCCTCACCTGTGTCTTGTTTGTTTCATTAGTCTTGTGTGTGCATTTAGGTTCTGCGTTTTTCTGTTAGTCTTTGTGAGATCCTTGTTTGTTTTTTGACTGTGTTCACGGGGAAGAGCTCTGTATTTTTCTTGTGGCCTTGAAATAAAGGTATTTTCTGTTGAACCTGCGTTTGGGTCCTGCCTGCTTTGCTCAGCCCTGACAGAAACTATACAAAAATAAGTTACAAGGCACTTAATGTTCTCATACATGCAAGTGTAACATACACAGATTAACACATAGGACCGCTAAGTGTAAACAAGGCAAATATAGCTAATGCTAGCTGTGCAATAAGCATGTATAATATGTTGTACAGGCTAGTATGGCTAACGCTAGCATGTATGCTAACGCTACCTCGTATGCTAACGCAAATGATAGCGCGAATGCTAACGCATTCTCTCATTCTCTCATGTTTAAACCGTTTAAACATCTCCAAATGTCATCACATAAACACAATACATGTTACTAATCCTTACAGTGTAAGTGTAAACCATTGCTTTCTGACGGACTTGACCCTTTACTCTTCAGGTTGCAAAGGGACAATTAGTAGCAGTCGACTCATGGATGTCTACTGTCATGCTATTCAGTTCACTTTCTCCTACTTCCTGTACTCGGTTTCCTGTCTAACCTTCAGTAAAAAATTTACAAATATTTAAANGATGTCAACAATCCTGTGGGAGCCAATCAGGCAAGCAGTAGATGAGGTCAGGCAGGACCGCAGTGACAGGGTTCAGCAACGACTCGCCAATCCAGGACTCAGGATCCAGGGACTCAGGATCCAGGACTCAGGTGCAGATCCTGGACACAGGACACAGGGACTGGGGATCCAGGGGCGCGCGATCCAGGACTCAGGACCACAGCAGCAGGATCAGCCACGACTTAGGATCCGGGGTAGATAGACACGACATAGAAATTTGGGGGAAGCTGGGTTATTGGGAACCTGTGAATACACAGGTACAGACAGGAGAGGATGTCCCCTGACAGTCTAAGCCTATAGCAGCAAAACTAGGGGCTGAATCTATCAGCGCTAACTATAAGCCTTATCTAGAAAGAGGTCCTTAACTGTCTTAAACTGATTATAAAAACGGATATGGTGGTCTCCGCCGAACACCAAACTGGAAGCTGATTCCACAAAAGAGGAGCTTGATCAGAAAGGCTCTGGCTCGCCATTGTACTTTTAGGACTCAGGAACAACCAACAACCCTGCATTCTTGGAACGCAATGCACTAGTAGCAGTGCCGCACTTCCGGACAGGCAAGGGCAGGCAACTGCTTGGGGCCACGACCAGGAAGGGGCCCCCAAGAAGATAGATTAAGAAGGTCCACAGCAACCGACAACCATGAAACACCCTTTAATTTACTGCAACAACATGTCCGGGAACCCCCTCCAACGCTGTGCGTGGTTCGAGTGGGCCCTCCCAGTGAATGTTGGCCTAGGGCCCACAGACTCTAGAAAATGGCACTTGGCCTGTCACGATCTGTCTGTGTTGTGTTTTGTCTTGTCTAGATCTGTCTTTGGTTTCCTGTCTGTGTGTTCCCTCCTACCTGATTACCTGATTGTGTTCACCTTGTGCCCCTGTGTTTTCTCCTCCCTCCTCACCTGTGTCTTGTTTGTTTCATTTAGTCTTGTGTGCATTTAGGTTCTGCGTTTTTCTGTTAGTCTTTGTGAGATCCTTGTTTGTTTTTTGACTGTGTTCACGGGGAAGAGCTCTGTATTTTTCTTGTGGCCTTGAAATAAAGGTGTTTTCTGTTGAACCTGCGTGTGGGTCCTGCCTGCTTCGCTCAACCCTGACAGATGGATCTCACCAAAGATGGACCTAGCAGTGTTTTTTGAGGATGAGGTTGGCAAATTATCCTGCAAACTTTTATGTTTTCTTGGAGAGTGGATGAGGGCTAATGGTAAAGAGGCTCAGGAGGCTGCTCTTTCACGAGCACGCTGGGAAGTTGCAGATAAGCCCTGGTTAAGGAGCTCACTGCCTGAATTTTGAAGGGACTTTGTGACTCTTCCCGATAAACTGCATGCCTAGTTTAAACCTTGAGACCCTGCAACTATGGTTCTGGCTCCCGTACTCACTCCAGCTCCCATGTCCTGTTTGAGGTCCCGCAGTCACCTGTTCCGCCGGGGGGCCTGCCGACATCATGTCCTGTTCCGTTGGGGGTGCAGCCGACACCTGTTCCGTCGGGGGTCCTGCCAACTCCATGTCCCGTTTCATTGGGGCTTCCGCTGAGGGTCCTGCCAACTCCTTGTCCTGTCCCGTTGGGGGTCCCGCAGACTACTGTTCTGCCGGGGGTCCTGCCAACTCCTTGTCCTGTTTCGTTGGGGGTTCTGCTGGGAGTCCTGCCAACTCTGTGTCCTGTCCTGTTGGGGGTCCCGCCGACTACTGTTCTGCCGGGGGTCCTTCAAACCCCATGTCCAGTTCCGTTGGGGGTCCTGCCGACACCTGTCCCGCCGGGGGTCCCGCCAACACCTGTTCCGTCGGAGGTCCAGCCAGCTCCGAATCCTGTTCAGTCAGAGGTCCCGCTGCCACCAGATCCTAACACGCAGGGGGTCCCGCCTACACCATTTCCAGTTCTGTTGGGGGTCTTGCTGACGCCTCTTCCACCGACACCTTGTCCTGTTTCGATGGCGGTCCAGTCGACGCCAGCCCTTGCCCCGTCCGGGGTCTCACTGACACCAGCCCATGTTCTGTCCAGGGTTCTGTCCAAGGTCCCGTCTGTGCCTGTCCCATCGGGGGTTCTGTCTGCACCTGTCCCGACGGCTCTGTTTCCTGTCCGGCCGACACCGGTTCCTGTACCACCGGGGGTTCCGCCATTTCCAGCTCCCAGTGCTCCCGATCCCCTGTGCTCCTGCTCCGGCGATCCAGCTGACCTCGGAGGGGCCCCATCGCGGCATACGCTGTCTCCCTGCCCGTCCTCCGGAGCTGTCCCGGCGCTGCCTTCCTGCCCGGCCCCACGAGTTCCCCAGCCGCGGCTTTCACCCTCAAGCCCGGCCCTCTGAGTTCCCCAGCCGCAGCCTTCGCCCTCGAGCCCGGCCCCCTAATTTACCCCAACGAGGCCTTCACCCCTGTCTTCGGCCCCCTGAGTTTCCCCGCCGCGGACTTCCCTGCTCTGTTGCTGTTCCCCCGGGCCGTCCGCCCGAGTCCCCCTTCTCGGCCTCTGCTTTGCCCCGGGGCCGTCCGCCCGAGTCCCTCCTCCGGTCCCCCTGCACCCGCCCTGCTTGATGTTTTGGACTTTTTATTTTTAGGGACGTCTGGGATCCGTCCCTTGAGGGGGGAGGGGGGGAAATGTCACAATCTTTTGTCTTTGATTTCCTGTCTGTTTGTTCCCTCCTACCTGATTACCTGATTGTGTTCACCTTGTGCCCCTTTGTTTTATCCTCCCTCCTCACCTGTATCTTGTTTGTTTCATTAGTCTTGTGTGCATTTAGGTTCTGCGTTTTCTATTATGGCCCGTCCACACTACAGCTTCAAAAAAAGCTTGCCGGCGGGCGTGTCTGAAGCTCGACCAACAACCAATCACATGAATCTCCCGCCCCTGACACACAAGCAGCGGTTTGATTGGCTAGAGCTTGTACTGGCATATGATTTGATTGGCTGACGCTTCCACCGAAAGCTTCAGAAGCTTCAAAAGTTGAACATTGCTCAACTTTTGCAGCCTGAAACGCCAGGAAAGCTCCGCTCTGCTACCCACAATTCAGTTCGGCGAAAAGCGATGCAACGTGACGTCAACCAATTCAAAGTGAATGGGCAGACGCGTTGGAAACCGTTTTTGAAGCTGTCGAAGCTGTAGTGTGGACGGGCCGTTAGTCTTTGTGAGATCCTTGTTTGTTTTTTGACTGTTCACAGGGAAGAGCTCTGTATTCTTCTTGTGGCCTTCAAATAAACAAACACTTTTCAGGTAATGACAAATACTCCTTCAATGGGATAATTATTTGCTAATATTTGCAATTGTACCTTCAGTTGAGACTAATAACTCATCACCAAATAAGCAATCAGACTGTCACAAAACAGCAGTTTATAAATGTCCCTGGTGGATATTCAGTCCTAAGATGTGAAGGATATGAACAGACAGTTGAAACTATTTCCCCTTTGAAGAAACGATGGATCACAGGCAAAAGACAAAATACCAAAAACAACTGTCACAGTAAATTTAATAAGGGGTTTCTCTTAAGAACCCTAGATTGCACCAGGTCAAATGCAATAGATGACCTTGTTCACCACATTTAGGTTGGCTAACCTAAAGAGGTCACGATATGGACTGAGACTTTTAGGGACTTGCATTGTCTGTGGTGCATTCCTTCTTCCACACTTGTTATTGGGTGTTAACGTATACATTGTTTTCCTCAAGTCTGCTCAATTAAATGCTGGCAATGTTATAAGAGAACTTTTCCATCAACCTTAATCTTTTGAAACGCTGTCATACACTAGGGATTTAAGCGAGAAATACATATTTATAATTGAGACTCACTACGTGGGCTTGCTATTTATGTAATGTTAATGATTCATACAAACTTAAAGCTACTTTGAAAATGTCATTACGGCTGTTGTACATAACCAATGTTTATATCAACTGGTCCAGCGAATCAAATCGATTAATATAAATTACCAAAGCATCTGTTGAACACAGAATGGAATCTGTGATCATATGAAGACATACCGTTTATGCATAATGATGTTACACCAGCTGTGTGCACGTACGCAGCGGTGGATTAACGCTCAATCTGTTTCGGGCTGCAGCCTGGGGCCCTATATGTGCATGGGCTGCATCTATCCAATCAGCTGTCCCAATAAGGTCAATAAAAAAATACCGTGACCAAGATCTATTCAAGAAAATCCCTTTAATGACTAGATTTTGTAAAGTCTGTGTGTATGTTAATGCCCCCAGGAGTGTGTGCAAGCCAAGTATTATTCGTAGCATGATTTTACACATGGCTCTAAATTATATTTTTTATGGTAAAGCATAACGAGTATTAGAGGTGGGGCCACACACAGATAGTTGCTTAGGGGCCCCTGACCACCTTAAATCGGCCAATGCATGTGCGATTGCATGCACCTGTGTGCGTGTTGTACATGCAAATGTGTTGTTTTAGCAAAGAGATGGGTGCATATAACTTCATAACACCCTGATAAACATCCGAGTGTGTGTGTGTGTGCTTGTTTGAGTGTGCGTGCGCCTAACTCCCTAAGATAATGATAACCATCTGCTTGGTTTCAAACACCTAATAAAGCCAGTGTAATTCTCATCCAACCAGGAGACAGATGGTTTCATGCTTCCCTCACTCTGCTCCGATGATACAGAGTACAGTGCAAACAAGCATGCAAAGTGAGAGGCAGACCGACACAACTGCAAACAGATCCATACATGCTGTATACAGTAGAGGCAGCAATCAGCACAGACTGACATTAATAGAGGATAAAATGCAGTGATATAACCTTTATAGCTTAAGCAGAAAAATGTACTTATTCACCCCAATATGGACATCTTCAGTTCCCTCAATGTTTGACTATATATCTTATTTGGTTTTTCTCCCTCCCTCCCTATTTTGTTTTTCAGTCCCTTTTCTGCTTCTTCGTTGCATAATGACCAGTCTTTTGGATTCAGCAGTGCAATTAACAAAATTGTTTTGAACTACAAAAAATATCTTTTGTTTGTAACATTGCAGTTTCTAGGCAACTGCTGGAAGCTCTCAGCAAACTAATCAGTTGACTTATTCTGGTTTTTTGTACGTCACCAGTGTCCCGCAGAAGCTAATATCTCCCCTCAGTCATCCTCCCAGACTCAAAAAGCTTTTTCTCCAATCTACTAAGTGTTAGTCCCATTAAAAACATCCTGACACCTGCACACAAAACACTGACAAATCCTGCATGCAGTTCATCACTTTCCGTCGTGTGACTCCAGGATAAATAGCTGGTGGCTAGCCATTAGCTAATGGGGATTCCAATGAATAATTACATGTGTTTTCTAAAAACAAATCTGTAGTTAGGGATCGAACAGAACAGTCAGGTCTCTGATGCCCAAATAACTGCAATCACAGGGCTCTTTGTTGTGAATGGACTGAGTTTGCTTCAAGGCAAGGCAATTTATATAGCACCTTTCAACACAAGGCAATTCAAAGTGCTTTACAAAAAATGAAAGACATTAAAAAAATGGCATTTAAAATCAGTCATTAAAAAGAAAAGATAATAAAATAAACATTAAAAGAAAAAATACATGGATAAAAGGTACAGTGCAGTTTAAGATGTGAATATATCAATTAAAAGCAGCGGCAAAAAGAAAAGTCTTTAGTCTGGATTTAAAAGTAGTCAGAGTTGCAGCGGACCTGCAGGTTTCCAGATATTTGGAGCATAATAACTGAACGCTGCTTCTCCGTGTTTAGTTCTGACTCTGGGGACAGAAAGCTGACCAGTCCCTGAAGACCTGAGAGATCTGGATGGTTCATAATTTAACAGTAGGTCAGAAATGTATTTTGGGCCTTCACATGGCTTTTACCCCGGCTGTCTTACACGCCTACGTCACTGTGATCATTCACTCCTTCCCTTTTCCTCACCACTTCTTCTTTCCCCCTCATGTCTCCACATTCTGTTCTTTCTTACACTTTGATCCCCTTACTTCCCACTTGTTCTCAATGTCTTCTTCAAGCCCCTCTCCTCTCCTTTCTTACTCGTCTCTGTCTCAGCTCCAATCCTTTTTATATCCTCTTCCATTGCTCTCTTGGTCTACTCCCTCCATTAATGCCTCTCCTTCCCTTCGTCTCCCAGGTATATATCTTTCTTGGCTCCACTCAGCCAGCCAACACATTTGATGGGCTTAATCCCTTTTCTCACTGTGTGTTTACAGCTTTGGGGCAGGTATTGATTAGCTTTTCTTTGTTTCTCCCACCACTTGCTTCCTCTCTCACTCACTTCTCTGTCTATCTCTCCTTGTAGCTGCACTGATGGCTCATCACCTTCTCTCATTTCCTCTCTTCATTCCGCTCTTAAAAATCTCTTAAACCACTTCACAATTTCTGTGTTTCTTAATCTCTGCATTACTCTATCTTTGTGTGTTTTTTGTATCTCCTTTATTTGTTGATGTTTGTTCCACTACACCTCTTCATTCCATCAATTCTCTCCTCTCTTGATACTTCCTTTCTTTCCCCCCTAGTTCTCATCCTCATTACTTCCCATTCTAAATCTCTCCTCCTGGCTCACTTGATTTATTCTGCCTGTCGAGCTACACCTTTATAGCTTACAACTTCTTCATTCAATATGTTTCAGTGTGTGCTGGTGTGTCTGTGTAGGAGGAAGCTACTGTTCCAAAATAGGATCAAATGAAGACTTATGGATTGTTTGAAGTAGGAGAAAAAATAGGGGAGGAAAACGGGGGAACTGAACAGAAACATGTGAGCAGAACAGGAAGAGGAGGAGAAAAGAGACGAGGGGAAAACAAGGGGAAAGATACAGAAAGAGAGAGGACTTTCATCAGTTGTATCTCCACACTGTTTCTTCCCTTTAGACCTGCAGCCTAAGTCTCATTTTCTATCACCTACAGTATCTTTCACTTCTGCTGTTTCCCCCTCTCTGCATCACTCTCTGGTTCCCCCTCAGTAGCCAATCTGCCGGCTTTCTACATGTTTTCATCTCAGTTCAAAGCTTCTGCAACTGCAAGAGCCAGCAGGAGATGTTCTGTTTGTGGGAAGAAACGGCAGGGAGGATCTCAGGAAACCAGCCCTGTTCCTGTTGTTGAGCATCATCGTCTGAACTGCTAATATGGGCCGTTGGAAAACTTGGATTCATTTGATTTCAATGCGTTCGGTTTTATTTTCCCCTTTTGTGTTGGTGATAAAAAGAAGGGTTTCAGGGAATAAACCCTAACTCACCACGGTTTTATTTTAAGCAGCAATGTAAATCTTCTCTTGGCCTCTTTCTAATGTGCTGTTGAAAGTCACAGTCTCTCATTCTAGTATGCCAGCTCCCATTCAAATTGTCCCTTGTTTTTGTGGAGCTTTATTTGCTACAGTTGCACAGCTCTGTAGCAACAACTGCCATTGCTTTACTTTATTGTTTTTAACTATTAGAACTTTGCCGTTACCATGAGATTTTTAAAAAGTGAATCAATGACGCATTAATATGACAATATACGAACAATGACTATCCACATTATAATTTGTTGTTGGTATGATATTCTTGCTCATGCTATACTTACATTTTTACAGTACAATATAGTTTTGTTGTTATTGAAATAAAAGTTATTACTCTTTAAAAATACATGTGCAAATAAAATCATCATGTTTTAAAAATAAATGTAATTGCAAAATGTCTCAGTACATAACTATTTAAAAAAACAAATGTAAGGCAGTTGTTTGTAGTCTGTACAGTATATAGCATTTGTGTTTAAAAAGTGCATTATTTATTTTGATTATACATTGTGTAAGCACCTTTTAGTTTTACTTCTTAAAACACATTCAATATAAAAATAACATATAACATAATTTAATTAAATAAAGGTGAACACTACTGAATACATAATGCGTTTATGTTAAAAACAAACAAAAACAAATGATGGCTCATATAAAAACACATTTGCCAGACACAGTGTTTCCAGACATGCTACTGGACCTGTGGATCCATCCTAAACTCAAATCTTGCATTGTCCATCATTTCTTGGGAAGGAGTTATTTAGAGTGGAAGATGTTCTCACCTCTGCAGCTGGGTTTGGTCTGGTTCCAGGTTCCCTCCTTGCTGCAGCGCAGAACGCTGCGAGCAGGCGGCTCCATCAGGTGACCGGGGTTACAGCGATACGTCACTGTGCGGTTGAAACTAAAATCACTTCCTATATAGATGCCATTCGCTACTGGGCCAGGATCTCCGCAACTGATCACTAAAGGAAGGGAGAGAAAAGTGACAAGTCATAAATCAGGTTATGTTAGATGTAATCCTGCAGTGGTGCATAAGGGCTGTAACATTTTTGTACAACTAACCTTGAATTCACAACAGCCCAGAACAACATTGTTTTTACTCGCCTGCCCCTTAACTTCGACCTCCTACTCATCTGTCTTACATCCTGCCTTTTTAAAAAAAAAAAAAACGTTCCTGAAGCACGTACCAGCATGTTTTCATCCACCTCCCACCTTCTATTCCCCAAGCTTCTGTCTGGCTCTGTTTAACTTTAGAAGCTGAAATCCCAGACACAATAATATTACAAATGCATAGGTCTGTACCTGCACAGCAGCGGGTTGCACAGTCCATGCAAAATGTATACTACCCTTGGATCCTTTACTAAAACACCACTATTGATGCACCAGAGGTGGAAGAAGTACTCACTTAAGTAATGGTCCTATACTCAAAATGTTACAATGTTATAAAATGTTATAAAAAAAGATAGCAAAAATCTTACAATGTTACATACTCAGTCTTAAAAAGTGTTATGTTATGGTAGAATGTCATATCATTCAGTTTTGTCACAACAAGTTCGGCAATATAGGGGCAATTTAGGCAGTTGGTTGTATATAACTGCATATTATCATATAAGTTAATACGTGTTTGTGATGTGAAAATAAACTACACATAAGATAAATGCAGTGCAATAGAGATTACAATATTTCCGTCTATAATTGAGACAAGTTAAAGTATAAACTAGATGGAGTTTGAGCGCAAAATGGTACTTAAATACAGTACTTAAATACAGTACTTTAATAAATTAAAAAACTGTTGTTACATTTTATGGATAACCAATACTGATGCTAATTGACTGTCATAGTAATGAACATCTTTTGTAATATTGACTGCACCGGCTGCTGTAACCACTGATAATAACAACACACATAGTAACAGTAGAAGCAATGATATTATATCTATCCTACCTGCGCAGTCTGGGGGTTGTCCTGTCCATGTCCCATTGGTTGTGCAGTGTCTGTTGGTCAGACCTGATGTTTTGAAGCCGTCCCAGCATGCATAAGCTACCGAGCTGCCGAAGGTGACGCCATCATTTACGACTATTCTGCCGTGTGCTGGAGTGCCAGGGTTACCACAGGATACAGCTGAGAATTGAGGAAATATTAAACAGCGGGGATTAATCATGGTGATGATATCAGTGTGAGCAATGCTGTCACTCAAGGATCAGCTGTAGGCTGCAATAATGAGCGTAGCACTGGAGTCAGCTGGAAAAAACATAAAATATGTCTTTGAGGCAGTGAGGCTGATTAACAACTAAAGGGTGTTGGATTGATTCCCAGCTCTGAATGGCAGCTGTACAGTATTCCAGTTGTGTGCTAGAGGCTTTCAGGAGGCTGGTAATTCATCTACACACCCCCCCAGGGAGTTCCTGGCATTTTTGAAAATAGTATGGGATGGCCCAGAAATGGTCTTTCATGTCGGTCAGAGGTAAAGTAATAATCTGTACCATGTTTCTATTGATTACATTGTTGAATGAGGATTCTTTATTGAAATTGACACTTACTGTAGAAAAAACAAATACCCATATTGATTGCTGGCCTACCAGCAGCCAAAAGACATGGTCCATCTACATCAGCAGATGGACCATGACTATTTGCAGAGACAATGATAGTTCCCTCATAGTTTTTGATATTATTTACACTGAACAGTCTGCTGCAAGGACATTTGGTGAAAAACGAAATAATGTGAATATTTCAGTTAATGCTGTTCAAATCAAAAAGAGCAACTTTAGGTCATTGTAAAATAACTATTTTTGGAGGTCTCCTACTAAATAAAGTAGCAATTTATACATTTATGTATAATGATAGTTTTTTGTGCTGAGTTGTTCCGTAGTCCTTGGTTTGTATCTGTGCCAAATGCTGGGGTCTAAATCCACCGTTAGCTTTCTTTGTTTTTGAACCACTCCTGATCTGGTGGATTGAAAGACAAAACTGTCTTGAAGGACACAAGAATGCACATGGCTATGGAGTGTCTTGTCCAAAATAGTGATTCATCGATCTTTAGTTTGCTGGCACAGCACATTAACAGCAGAGACAGGGATAAGCAAGCAACCAAAGCACATTTCACTAATAAGATCATGACAACTGACAGCGGCTTAACAATCAAACACCTATTGACGGGATTCATTAGTTAGAGCCCTTAAAAGCTCTGTCCAAGTGTGTGTGAGTGTGTAGGTGGTGCACATAATGTACATCTACGGCAGTGTAATCAGTATCCACACTGTGAGTAAAGGTCTGTGTACGTGTGTGTGTGTGTGTGTGTGTGTGTGTGTGTGTGTGTGTGTGTGTGTGTGTGTGTGTGTGTGTGTGTGTGTGTATGGATTTCTTTGTGTTTGTGTCTCAGTGATAGATGCTTCATCCTTTCTGAATCAGCCACTATTAGCTTAATGAAAAACAGCTGTAGGCAGACATAAATAATTAGGTACACAAACAGACCCTGGCGCACACACAAAGAGAGACACACACCTCTAAGGTAAGGCCAGAGGGCTACATTTTTGAGAGTTTAAAACTACAACAATAATTTAATCCACAGAAAAATAATTGTCAACCGTTTTTGCTCAACTTCAAAGAGTCTGTTTTTACCCTAAAAAATAATATATTTCTTGCTCTCATTACATTGATATTAAATCAAAAAGCATATATTTGGGTTTTATACTGACATTACAAGACATTCAAGAATAGCATTCTCAGACATTTTATGGACCAAATGCTTAATCTAGAAAGAACATCATAAGATTAATGACTATAAAAGCATGAATTGTTGGTTCCCCTAAAAAGGTTTAAACTAAAGATGCCAAATATATTTGTCAATGTTAATTCAGTGACTGCTGATTTCTCTCATCTAAGTGAGTGTGGTCTTTATGCTTCACAGCACACACAGTACTTACTATATTTAGTAAACTGCTGGTGTTTAGGTCACCTACAGTAATGCAGAAGAGCACACTGACACATATGACTCACTCTTCCTCCCCCCACCCACTTAAATGACTGCCTGTTTATCTTTATCTAACTGAATCTAAAATCTGCATCAGAGTGCGATGAAGCTAAATTACAGCGGTGCTTTCCTCATCCACCCTAACATAGTTGGGGATGGGGAAGGTAACACGGGCAGCAGCTTAGTATTCTAGTGTCCCTACAGCACTATGGGGACCCACTTTAAATTTCCCCCTAAACTCCCATGGGTTTAAAGAGTGTCTTTGAAAACTGCTGTTGTATAGGACGCACTTTATTATCACAGCGCTGTGGAAGATCCAGTTCAGTAAGGGAGGAGTGGCACCCTTCAATCCGTCGTATATGGGCCACACAGATTTAAACATGCGAACACTCGTGAACTGAAATCTCTTTTTTTCTACAAACTGCTAGTGCTATAAACCTCCTACATATGTGGACTTTTCCTTTCGAAAGATAATTGCAAATTTGGTCAACATATTAGATCACCATTTAATTTTAAAAGTGTGTGTAACATTCATAAAAAATAGGGACAGAGGACAGATAAAACTGTATGTATTCTACTCTCTTTATGAATGTCATCCATCTGAATGCATGCATATAAGCAATGTGTAATCTTTGCTCACGATACTGTACATTGGGTACAATGTGGTGGGCAGTGTATGTAACATACTTTAAGCTACGTTTGGTAATGGATTATTTACTTACTGTCACCAGCATGCCAAGTACCCTGATTCTCTAAGAAAAGATTAAGCTGTTTAACTTAGCTCTGCTGATTTATTTTCCCATAAAATGCTGAATAATTAATTCCATATGCCACAAATACACAAAATATGTTCTGCTTAATTTTACAGCAATGTTTATTTTTATATAGCAATGTTTTATAGAATCTGGGTTGGGACCCAAAGGTAACGTCAAATAAGACAGGGATTAGTTGGTATATGACGTTTTCTAAACAGACATATCAAATGTTGCCAAATCAAGTCCCTTGGGTGAAACAGGCAGCAGTTTTTTAAATATTAAACATGACTAATGAAGGATGTATATAAATGGAATATCAGACTGAAACTCAATGCTTTAACATTCAATACTACAGAATCAAGTGCAATGATGTATTTCAATTTATTAAAATAAAGGTGATTTGTTTGATGCTAGGAGAGTGAGTTGCAGTAAGGGTGTATAGAGACACATTGACACGCTTCCCCACCTTGGCAGACAGGCTGTGTGCCGCTCCAAGTCCCGTTGTGTAGGCAGGTCCTCTCGGCTGAGCCAATCAGATTATATCCCGCCTCGCAGCTGAAACGCAGCAGGCTCTTGGTTTTAAATTCCTCGCCTCCTAGACGGGCGCCGTGGGGAGGCATCCCCGGGTCGCCACAGATTCCTGGACTTACACCTATAGCAGCGAGAGACATTAAGTACATAAAGTGACTCAGTCTTACACACTCGTGAAGTGACACATACACATATACATTAAATGCACATACCCACACATGGAAAACTTTGAAGAACTGCACTTTGCATTTAGGCTATACTAAATTGTTCTAGCATTAAAAGCACTGAGCGTGTCACAATTTTAGCGGCTTAAATTCCACCGGTAGGGATTTGAGAGTTTAACAGGGTACAGCTCCAAATGCAGCGTCTTGCATCTCAATGAGGTCCTCAGCTGCAGAATGGATTCTGCCCTGCTGAGCGTTCATTTTTGAGGCGTGCAGAGTAAGCTTATTGCATTTCAGCTATTGGGACAGTTGATGCTGAGTTTGGAAATGATCAGTTGTAGTGTTTTCGTGTTGTGGGATCTGTGTAAGCCGACTGCAAAGCAGCACTTGCAGCCTGGGAAGTAAACCAGGACTCATCGCCTCATTCCCCTGCCTCTTGTTACACATGCAGCTCAAGCCTGCTCACTTGTAGAAGAGTAGATTGCTCAGATTACACTAGTTATACATGTTTGTTCTCTGTATTTTTAAATGAAGTGATAATAACGACACATGCTACTTTCTCAAGATTACTAGCATAAGCAGAATGGTGAAATCTGTCACAAACACCAGCAGGGAAATGACTGGAGTTAACGCTGTGGAAAATAGTTGAAATGATTTCTCCCTACAGTATGTCTTATGTAAGTGGGACAGAGATGATTTTGTGGAGCAATGTACAAAGAAGGGCAGCATGTTCATAGAGAGCCTAGTTTTCAGTGAGCTGTAAGTAATTATAATCAAAGATAAAAACAACTTGCTACAGTTTGTCAGTGAATGGTTGAATGGATTTTAAATGATAATGTTTCTTCTGGTATGTTATGTTATTAATGTCTAGAATTAGGGCAAGTCTTGTCCTGTAACACATGCTCGTTCGGCCAACAGTGGCAGATCTAGGGAAATATGTATTGGGGTGGAAAGAGTGTGCCATAGAGTTGGATTCATTCCTGTTTTCCCATCATTATGTTACCTAATGTTGCCATAACAGATCAAATGATTGCGTTAAATAAATTGCCGCCGCATTGTTGACTTGTTTGGGACTCTCGAATATTAACATGTTTGTTTGCAGAATGAGCAGTTTAGGGATGTTGGTGGCTGCAGGCAAAAGTGACAGTCGTAATTCTGCTGAATATTTAAGTTTAGTCAGGCTTAGTCCCTCCGAACATAACAAAGCACAAGTTACTAAACAGGATAAGCTTCAACAAAGCCTAATAACATTGTAGAAGACTGGGGTAGTAGGCATTTGTTGTGCATTATGTATGCCTACCACCCCAGATTTGGACTACAGAGCCATTTTATTGTGAGGCCAACATGAAGAATGACCTTTGGCTAGAGTAGGTAGTAGCCTCGTTGAAAGTCTACCGCTGTTTTCATATAAATGCAGTACATCACACCCACTGATCTAACATCAAAGGCCAATCCAGTTGAAGAAGTGTGTGCTGAAATGTATATGGAAATCTGAGTCACACAGGGACATGTCTGTCGATCATATTTTACTTCTCTGCTCCTGTTAGTACCTGCTATTGTTGCTGGAGAAACAACAATCTGAAAACATCTTTGTCCAGACTTGCCTGTGTGATATGCCTCGTGCTTGTTGCACCAGATTGGATGAATCTATTTTCTGACAGCTGAAACCATTTTTTGAACTAAAACCATTTTTCTTTAAAGCAGCAAGTTTTAGTTGTTCTTTTGTAGTTTGTATATCTGTTGAGCTTAATCTGGCAATTAGTTTTCTTGATGTACATATATTTGTTTATTTTCTTCGAGCATTTACATTTTTTCACAAACTAAACTCTCCAATATCGATGCCATTGATTTTGAAGGGTGTGTTTGCTGGATTATCACTTTAGATTTAAAATCACAATCAAACATGTCTCCCATTTTATGACAGCCTGTAGGATTATGCATGACAAAGTAAAATACTTTTCTACGCTTTGCTTTTCCACCAGCTGAAAACTGTGCCTCCCGACCAGTGGACCATTGTGCCTTTACCAGTGCAGTATGGCGGCGCTCCGCTCCACGTGGTGTCTTCCTGACAGTGACGAGAAGCGTTGCCCACCAGCACCCCTGCAGGCAGACAGGAGTACTGCAGCACTGAACCGTACGTCCAACTGTGAGTCCCAGATATTACCGCATTAGGGGGTACACCCGGGTCGCCACAGGAAATAGCTACAGAGAGATTGAAAGAGAGTGTTAGAGTGTGTGTGTGCGAGACTGGGTCCAAGTATAGATTCCAGATACTACTGCATTAGGTGGTGCAGCTGTGTCTTGGCAGGAGACAGCCAGAGGGAGAGGGTGACAGCAAGGATGGGATGGAAATAACACTGGGTCTGCGTTGTTTTTGTGTACGTGTGTGTGTGTTGGTGTCAAAGTACACACTCAGCAAAAAGCAACAAAAACTTCAACAACAATACAATCTCGCTTGTTTTTTACTGCATGCATATTCATTAAGTGTGGAAAGAAACCCTTTTCTCTTACAATTACTTTTTTTTTTATCTTTTCAGATTAAAACAAATGTCATATGTAAAAATATGTTTACACTCGGTTGTTTGTCTACCCCTTTGTCTACAGTGGGAACATTTGACATGCAAAAAAGGTCCCCAGGTTGGAATCAAACCGAGGACGGTTATATTGTAACATTTGACAAGGCATAAAAATGATGCACCAAATGGTTAGGGTGCATAAACTTGTAAATATACACTTCATTAAGCAGTACCCATACTCCTTTCCTTAACCATATAGAAGAATATCGTCATGACACTTAAGCTTATCTTTATTGAGTTTAATTGAACCGCCTAAGAGAGAACCAATAACTTATCTCAAACTAAATTCACTTTAGCCAACAAAATCATTCCACAGTGTCAAAGCAACGAACATCAGTGCAGTAATCTGCTATTTCGTTTTCCTTCAATTTGGGGAAAATCGACATTTACAGAGCACATCTTACTTGTGGAAACAGATATGAAACTGTTCTTGATTTTCTATTTCTGCCGACTGACTGGTCCTGCGATATCTCCCCTTACCCCCAAATTGTATTATTCTATCCTCTCCTTGTCTCTTAGTCATCAGCCCTCAACCCCCAATTTTCCGATAAGACACTGTTTCTCAAATGTAATGCTCGATGCACAGACACCCCTCCAGTGTCTGCTGCTCTCTCCCTCTCTGTCTGCTTCCTTGTCTCTATCTCTCTGTTACTGTGTCCTCACTGCTGTTCTCCTCCCTGTGCTTCTCTCTCCATCTCTGAATCAGCATCCTCTCTCCATCGCTCTCTAGTTTAATCTCTATGTTTCCATCGGCCATTGTAGCTCCCTCACAAGAATGCCTATTGCCCGAAGAGACACATGCTTACCTTTTTTCCTTCTCTTCACACAGACATAGACAACACACGCGCACACACACACACTCACACAGATGCTCAAACCTTTAAGCTTCTTTCTTTCATACTCTTGCCCTCTTTATATGATTACTTCCCTCCCATTTTATCCCTTGAACCCTGTCTTATTCTCTCAATTTTTCATTCGCTCCTCATCCTCCTCCCAGTAGCTCTCCAAGCCATTTCACTTTCACAAATGGCTTTCTCTGAAAAATATAAAGACAAAATAAACACCTGCCTATGTCTACCTCTGTTCAGCATGCCAAACTTTTACAGACCTTGTTTTTTTGCAGGGTTCCAAAAAGTTGTAACCTGTTTTTCAATAGTAGAAACCATTTCATTAAAAGGCCTATGAATGCCCTTTGTCTCCTAAACTTGCATTGACAGTTTCTATCAATTCAAGAAAAGATCATTATTCCATCCATACCTAGGCAGCGAGGGATTGGTCGGTCCCACCGTCCTTCGTGCTGGCATGTGAGGATGGCGGAGCCAAGGAGGTAGAAGCCTCGTTTACAGTGGATCGCCACGGATACACCGTAGCTGAAGACTTCTGGGTAACGTAGGCCCGACTGGCGCACACCATTCTCCACGTGGCCGGGGTCGGAACAGTTGACCACTGCAGGAGAGCAACACTGTTAAAACCTAATCAAACTATTTATTTAAGTAGACTTCAGTGAAATTTTTTTCATATTGATGGTTGGAGATTGTACTAAGAAAAATCTAATACAACAGTAATGTAAAGACAGGAGAAGAGAAGGTCTAACACCTAAAATATATATTTTTAATTAAATAAATATGTTTATAACATTAGGGCGTAGATAACATTGTCTGTGGCTGAAATGACTACTCTCTGTATAATAGGCAGTCTACAATTTAGTTTAAAGTGACCATTATATTAATATGGACACACCGTAATCATCATTACTTTACGTCATTCTTGACAGTTAATGACTGTCATTTTTTCACCCCGAAAGTGCAACAATTTCCATAATGGGGTTGTTAGCGGAAAGTAGTGCATGGCCGCTATATTTTTGCCATTGTGAATCTTTTTTGAAGACACTGAAGTGCATAAATGTCACACACACACACATGTCCTTAAATGGATGTATAGACAGTCAATATATTGCACCTTACATTGGATTTGGAGGGATTTGGGGCACAACTAAATCAAATGACTGAATAGTTTGGAGCTTAATCTTTGAAAAGCAGCCATTAGAAAACAGGACACAATTGGGCACTTTTAGGGTACTAAACCCCGGATCACAGGGTTACAAATTATCTATGTTACTCTGGTCTTTTCTAAAAACTACTCTTTGGTCGTGTCCCGCTCTCTTTTCTGGAGCCCTTTGTTCTACTCTCCCCTCTGGTCCCTTCTACTCTCTCTGGGTGGAGGCCAGTCCAATAAGAGTGAGGTTTTATTTTTCACATGTCACAGGGGAGAATGACATTCACTCAAATTCAAGTCCATGGGGGACATGGATAAGGGTGTGTGTGTGTGTCTGGCACCCCAAGGGAACAAAGAAAGTTCCACTCTTATAATTGACAGCTGCTGCTGGCTTGGAGAGAGAGCAGGAGAGAGGGATAGGACAGAACAATTGAGGGAGAGGGAGAAAGCAAGCAGGCGAACTTAAATCTCCTCATAGAAAACCCACGTGAACGACGATGTTGAATCGATCTGCTCTCATGGCTCTGTGTGTGTGTGTTTTAGTATATCAGAACCGTTACACTACCGGAGGTCTTCAGGGGCTTGTAGTGTAAGGACCATGCATGGTTAACAGAGTAGAACGTGTCTCTGGACATGAACCCAGCTGTGTTTGTGCACATGTATGAATGCTGAATACAGCACAATGTTAAGTGTGTTTATACGCTACAATTATTCAGTTCTCAATTTTACAGTCAGCTGGCAGAAGATTCGGCCAAAAATGTTCCAGTTGACATACTGGAGCTAGAAGCAAATCAGGGCAAAAACAAATACTGAATCCATGATGACCATTTAAATGCATGGGTTTCTGATTTTATGATGATATTTTACTCTTCAACTGATAGGATCCAAGGTGTTGGAATTGTCAGTAAAGTATGTTATCTAAATCAAGACAAAAAAGCTAAATCATTTATTTCAGTACTAAACACATAACATAAGTGAAACTGAACATAAAACACTACATGTTGTCTGTGCAGTGTTCTGTGCACTATAATTTCAAGAGTTTATTCCACTCGAGTATTTGCACGGATGTACGTCAGTGTGCAACTTTGGTAATAACTGTGTTTGTGACCTTTGCAGACAGGTAGGGGGCTGCTCCACTGGCCGTTGAGTCTGCACTGAGCACGTGCATTTCCAGTCAGGACGTAACCTCTGTTGCAGGTGAAGTTTACAACATCATTGAGGTTGAACTCGCTGCCATTGGTTCGCCCGTTGCCTGGGTTGCCGGGGTGACCACAAGTGATAGCTGAGGGAGCAGAGAGAAGTATGATGAGAAATTTGAGGTGTGGAAAAAGTATTATTTGCAGGATTGTGTTATATTCCATATTTTTTGGAATACAAAGATGCTGCAGAGGCTTTCAATTCAAGGAACCATTTAAGCCCCTGAAAGGCTTTCAAAGAAGATGTGGTTTATTTTGAGACTAGTGTGTGTAATGGATTTACTTTATATAAAAAAAGCATTTTAGCTCTTCACATTAACTGAAAGAGAAATGACTCATCATACAATACAGATGAACTACAATGGTTTTCGAATCACGAAGAACTTACGGACGCAGACGGGAGTTGTTCCAGACCACCGATGGTCTTGCTGACAGATCCTGACCGATGTGCCAATAAGACGATATCCCAACATGCACTGGTACACCACAGTGTCACGGAAACTAGAGCCTTCTCCACTAATGTGTCCATTGACTATAGGATCTGGAGAGTCACAGTGACCAGCTGCAGGAGAAGAAATGATAGGGATTAATGCAGTATAATGAGAAACAACTTTAGGTCACTTTCCCTATCCGTGACTTTAAATCATCAGTGCTGGATCAATGTTCCCATAGTTACGACCTTAAGACGCCCATTTCAACTACTTATTGCAACAGTTAGCCCGTCAAACAATGTATATGAGCTGTCTTTACTTAAAGTAGACATCAATCCCCTTTATGACGGGTGATTGACATCCTCAGTGCATTTATGAAATCAATGTGAGAAGGCAGCACTGCTCTGTGACCGCCCTAAAGGCATTTTCAAATTGGCAAATTAACACAATTTAAGTGCGTTCTCCTAAGAGGCCTTGAAGTGCCACATCCTTTCATGATTTCTGAAAAACTTTGGCACATTGGCCTAGGTGTGGGAATCATTTAATTCTGCTCAGTACCATTTCATCTATTAGGAGATCAATCACTCATATTTCGCTTCATGTTTTTGTGCTGCACGAAGTCAGGACTGTGTCCCAGTACTTTTTCATGTATTTAGCTTTTAATAGTCTTTTTTCTTTTCCAATTGCTTTGCACATACGACAATGTCTCAAACTTTAATTAATGCTGTGAAAACATCTATAAGATTCAACATTTTGCAAAGCTCTTTGGAGACTACTGTTGATGTAATGCAAATGTTTCTACTACTTTTTTAAAGACCACACGTATAAGGAAAATCATTATCCAAGATGTCTGATTTGATCAAACCAATACTATATAGACGTGTCATTATTTTAAGGGTTCTTCTGAAGCAAATTAATCATTAATATGTGTGCCTCCTGAATACAAAGATGAAGGTGTAAAAAAGGCTGCATGTTACTCACTGCAAGTCATGGCTTTTCCAAATTGTGAGCAGCAAGTGTTTTTTCCCGACATTTTTCTTCAGTCAATTACAACAGCTTTTAATTAAATAACATTTGTGATTGTATTATGTCAGCATGAGACCTGCAGAAAGCAGCAATACACGGCCTGTGGTAAAAACATTTGCATCTGGCCACTTAAACCCATATTTGTAGAGGTGATTAACTTTTGATTAAATCAATTTTGAACTCTTCTTTCATAAACGCTCAGGTATATTTTGCTGCCCTGCTAGCACCAGAATCTCAGATTTGAATGTGACGGTGGCTTGATTTATACGCTCATCACATAAACTGTGAATCCCGCATGAGACTTATTATTCAGGCGTAACCTCGAGGCTGAATCCTGAACCAGAGTGTGTATGTAAAATCAGGATTAATCATCTCTGGTCAGTGCATTCTGAAGGTCTATATCAAGCCATTAATGTATTAAGTAATAAAAAGCCTCAGTACTAGATCATTTGAGTTACTGAGGCATGTGCGTAGTTTGTCTTCCTTTCTGCTGGTCTCATTTCCATAGCCCTTACCTAGACACCTGTAGCAATCCCATAAATTAATAAAGCTTACCTGTAACATTGGTATTTCTATTAGAGCCTAAGGTTTTACAAATGTCCTTGACACAGGTTATGGCAGAAAAATATACATGAAATGCCTTTTTATTTTTCGCACAAATGTGCCTTTAAATTGGAATATCATATGAACTGTTTTGCTCTTGCGTGCTATATTGAATACTGTAATATTGATAATACAGCCAGTGTGACTGTTGATACCATGCCCTAACCTGATTTTGTACAGAAGTGTTAACAATATAAAAATATTTACTTTCTTTTTCAAAGAGATTGTAATTTTTTCAGCTAAAGGGGTTTTGGACAGACACAACACGATGTACATGCCATCACATTAAATGGACCTTACCTAGACACCTGGTCTCTGCTCCGCTCCACAGCCCGTTAGCACCGCACTCCCTGACATGTGACCCCACCAGCGTGTAACCATGGTTACACATAAAGATTGCAGTTGCTCCAAATGTAGTCAGCGTCCCCAGTTTGGTCCCAAAGGGTGGAGTGGGAAGCTCTCCACAAGAGATGACTAAACAATGAAATAAATATGATAGCATCACATGGTTACAAAAAGACAATGGAAATGATATATAACATCACATTAAGCAGCAACGGGTACGGTTTTATTATCTTTAATTCCAAAAATCTGTAAGTAAGATGACACTATAAACCATCCTGGATTAGAACAGTGTCAATTGAGTTTTGGGAACTATACCAGGCTGAATTAGATTTAGGTCAGAAGATTTAAGACCTTGTCTTCCTTAATATCCTGACACTGTTTCCAAACCACTGGCCAACTTAAAGTAAAGACAATTCTGTTACATTGCCAAATCCCTCAGAGCTGCAGCAGTGTTATATAGGTCAACTAACAATTAAGAAATATATTTAAAATGTAGCAAAAATACATTTAACAAAAACATTGGTCTAATGTAAGATGGGTTTCAATTTGTAATCATGTTTTAAACTTTTCAAGTGTACCCATTTCCTTGGCACGTAATATATTATGCAATGCTAAGAAATCCTGGTGCCTATTGGAACGTTTTCAAAGTCACAATGCGCTAACACCCCTTCCCTTTATGAAAGAAGCAGCAAAGGCACATTTCATAGTAATACTCAATTTGAAAAGCCAATCTTCCACTATTGCCCAGAAATAGCATTCTGATTAAAATAGTTATCACAGTCCCAAGACAATGTGCAGTAAAGATGCCCCTGGTAACTCTTTAAAAAAAAAGACAGACAGAAAGTAACTCTGTCCTGCAATCAATCCGAGACCAGCGGCGGCCATTTTAATACATTTCCATGCTTTTGCTCAAACACAGGTTTTTCATGCACAAAGAATCATAAATCCCTTTGACTGTCTCTTTTCCTTTACAATGGTGGGCAAGCTGTATTGATGACTCATTCAAAACAGACTCTGGAAGCAACTGCATTGTGGTTTTATTGTTTTGATAGCGAATGTGATGCCCGCTCATGCAGGTGTGTCTATATGTGACTACAGTATATATGGTGTGTGTGTGTGTGTGTGTGTGTGTGTGTGTGTGTGTGTGTGTGTGTGTGTGTGTGTGTGTGTGTGTGTGTGTGTGTGTGTGTGAGAGATGAGGTTCCTTTTTTCATCACTCTGTTCATGTGCCTTTCTTCTCCATCTATGAAAGGGTGTTTACTTTAATAACTTACGAAACATAAATAGTAAAAAATTATCTGTGCACTATATAGTACCAATGACGTTGAAACACTTAATATATGTGGTTATATGTGTGTATCAACCCAGTTTAAAGGGTATCTCTTATAATACAGTTCTAGGCTCGAAGTCTGAGTTGACTCATAAATAAAGTTATTTGTCATCGAGTTGCCATGGGAGGTGAACAGGCGCACAAAACTAATATCATAGTGAAGTTTTATTATCTTGTTCAGAGGGGACGGGGTTAGATGCTTTGACAGCAGCATTTGAGATTTAATTTGCACACAGGATAGTCACAATTTGCACACAGGATAGTCACAATGTTGTTTGTGTTTTTTTTAAATACTTACTCTTGCATGTAGCTAGGTCGTCTGACCCCTCCCAGGTCCCATTGGCAAGGCAGCGAAGAGTCCGATGACCCACTCCCAAATAGTACCCTGTGGAGCACTCCAGCATCACCATAGACCCAAACTCTGCCGACCTACCAGAGAGCAGGCGGGAGGTCATGTGATCTGACAAGGTGCCCTCGGTGCTGGGGCAGTGGACCGCTGGAAAATAAAATGTAGTCAAATGACTATTACACAAAACATTCAGGCTTCATTTATGTCCTCAACTACAAGCTACTGTATCGACTCCCATTTGATTGAATGTTTTCCAAAACTTTAAAGAGCCTGTGACACGGGATTCACCCATCATCCAAACCCATCAATTTGAGTAAATATTGTCCCCTTGAAACCGTTACTGAACTGATTTTGGATATTTGTACTTTGATAACCATTAATCTCCCCTTCAATGTTGACCATATTCTGGATCTTCTTGGGGATTCTTCAAATCCCGCCAAAGTATGTGTGACGTAATTGCGGGCCAAGAGCTCCAGCTGCACCGTCCGGATCCCATCATCTGCATGCAAACGCACGATGGCGCACACAGCAGCAAGCTCAGACAGCGATGACAGTTTAATTTTGAACGTGTCTGAGAGCTCATATGAGGCTGAAGGATCGGTTTATGTTTTATCTGTTAGAAGTTTAGGAATTAGGTGCGTCAATATGGGCGATAATACGGTCATGTAGCCAGTGGTGGACTGGGACTAAAAATCAGCCCGGGACTCTCGACCGGCCCACTTCGGTACTGCTATTAAGCTGTCAACGGGGGGAGTGGGGGATGTGCTAGTGACTTATCCGACCGGCCCACTTCGGCACCGACCCATCGGGATTCGTCCCGATGGCCAGTCCGCCACTGCACCCAGCCCAGCCCACGCAAACTGTCAACGGGGGGAGCCTCGCTGCGGGGAAACGGTGGACCTAGTGTCCCGATCGGAGTGGGAATAATAATAATAATAATAATAATAATCCGTGCATTTTATCCATTAATTTCCCCAACATTGTGGTAAAAAAACACACGTTTAATCCACGTTGGTGTACTACAACTACAAAAAGCACCGGTTTGTTTTCTCATCAGGAAATGCAGACCGGCTCAAACAAACGATTTTAAATCATCATCCTCACGATCATTTAATGTATCATATGTTCACCAATTGACATGAAAGCACTAATAAATGTAGTTTCATCCACTTGAGTTTACAACTACAAAAATAATCGATTTGTTTTTATATCACATCCGACGGGAGGAAATTCAGCAGCTCTCACTACCGATTTTTAATCCTAATTTAATCATCATCTTCACCACGATCATTTATGTTTATGCTCGCCGAATTGACATGAAAGCACTGACATATATGAATATACTGTAGTCAACTTCATTAAAACATTATTAACGTGCCTAAACTCAGTAATTCACCATTTCTACGCATGACAACACACTTTGTCCGTGTTTGGTTCTCTCGCCGCACAGTGAAGCGTTCCCGCATTGACGTCACTTCCGGCTTCCCCAAAACTTCAAAATGAGTCGAAGGAATTTCCCCGCGATGTTCGAAATTATTGATATTTATCGGAACGGTATCGCACCTTCTTTTTTAAACTGACGGTTCGAGATGACTAGTAGCCCAATATTTCATTGCACAACAGTTGTTGGGATGCTGTCACAGGCTCTTTAAACTGTTGCACTTTCTGTTGTTTCTATCGCGCATTGCCGGTATGAAAGGGTCTGTGCCGGAAATATCAAACATTTAATAAAAGTGAAAAACAATGAACAAGACTTAACGTATTAATAATAATTAATTATATTTATTCCGTTTGGATGTAGGATTNAGCTTCCCTTTTTCGTACTTTTGCCCCGAAGCCCCCACGGCACCCTTCTTGGAGGCACATAAGTGCAGGAAGTGTCATTAGTCAATACTGTCAACCTGTGACATTCACCTATCCCGGATGTCTGGTCGGCGTATATTCTATCTTATGTCTGATGCCCCGATAACTATCCAACAGTTAGAATACAAAACTTTCATCCGATTATGTAAATTGACTTCCCCGACCCGGCCACTCTCCCGCTCCGGACCGCAGTCTCCAGGTGAGTAGTGTCTGTTCGAGGGACTCTTTTGGCAGTACTTTTTCAAATCGTTACAATGCTGATCGTATTAAACGGGTGCCGACACTAACTGGTTGGACCTGTCGGTCAATCTTCGAATCTTAACGGTGGATCTCTCGGGTAGTCTTGGATCTTCCCCCGACGTCACACCCGGTCTGATAAATATAACACGTATTTCAATCTACGTATCCTATCAAGTATCACCGAGTACTACTATAAGGTTCAATTTACTATATAATATAATAGTAAAATTTATTATTATAAAGTTATTATAATTTATTATTCCTGTCTCTTACCAAACACTCGGTAAGTGATAACGTTAATAATAAAATACCGGACTTAATCTGTTCGTCAAGGAAAGGCTTAAAACTATAACCCATAACTATATTAATAACCTTTAAATTAACTAACGACCTCACACAGAAGAATACGTCAACTGTGACTCTTTCACTCTGTCGACGTCAATACCAACTGAGCACCCCCACTCCTACTAGATCGGTATTGTCATATATATATTCGTACCTACATATTTTACATAGACATCGATCGTTGACACGCAGGCGTGCCGCACCCGGCCACGCAGACTTGCAGGCCCCGACTTAATCACAGGGTCAGGCGGTAACGAAAGCTATAGAAGAGAAGTATGGAAGCGGAAACTGAACGGTAGTGTAAAATGTGTGTGTGTCTGAGGTGTTTTGGGTGTTTGGGAACGCCGACGATGAGAACTTCCACTGTCCGGTTCGGACATTGTGAACGCGTTATGTTAAGTTCATCACAAAGTTTTATCATAACAATTTCAAGACACGACACAAAACATGTAAGTCTACTTAACTACAGTTTGCCTGGGGGGAGGTGCTTATGTGGTGTCAGGTACGTCAGTGCTGGTGCAAAGTCCAGTCTGACCGTCGTTAAGCTAGGTACAACAACAAGGTTTCATAGATAAACGGTTCAGAAGAAAAACCCCCCCAAAGGGGAGAGGACATCACTCTAGATACCAAACACACGTACATTTACCGGACTTTGCCGATTTTAGGGATACTTTAGAGTAGAGAGAAAGAGAGAGATATATTTACATAATAACACATCCACTAGGATCGCGTGACGTGATGCTTACTCTTCAGACCGTCTCAGCTGGTCACCGGCTGACAACGAGCCAAGTCAGAAACCCGAAACTACGGTTTTACTACGGAGATACCGTTAGTAAATAAGGTAACACAAGTTTATACATAATATAATATCTAATAACATTCATAATACAACATGTGGTTGAATTGATTGAGAGAGCAATGCTATAAAATCAAACAATTAAATATATGAATTATGTACATACATGTGATGAAGATACAAATTGTATTTTTACACAGTCCGTTCTGTATACTTACTGGTGTAGACACAGCTTCCTCCCCAGTGTGGATGTCCAATAGATTGTCGCTATCCTCAGTTCTGTCAGTGGCTTCATTGAACAAAGTTTCCAATACCTATGTAATAATATTGACATTTTTCATAATTTGAAGCGGTTGTAGGCCTATGAGGTATACTTTTACTATAAATGCTGTGGGCAAAGTGCATGCAATCATATATGGCATCATGACTTCATCCACTCATAAATGTGTGAGATTTGACATGTCATTTTGATTCAGGCTTTATGCTTAAAGCAAGTAGCGCGGCTTACCTTCGCTCTCTCCCTTTTGGCGAATGCATTTCGCCATCTCTTTAATGGAGTACTCTGCATCGGGGGACGTGTAGGAATCGGCGTGGTGGCTTGTGCTGGCATTTGGGGTCTTGGCAGTATTGTTGGAACAGCATCTTTGTTCAGTTTGAAATTCTTTTTTAATCCAATTTCCTTTGCGAGCATTGTGGACTGGTCAAAACACGATCTTTCAAAGTGCTGCCCACAAATTGTAGGTTTCATCGACCCCGGGTTACCTGGACCAGCAAAGTCCGCCCTCGTACGACGCACTTGTTTGGTCCATATACGCGACATTTGATAATTTTTTGGCCACAAAAACATCCCATAGCCAGATTTGGAGACGGCCCCACATCCCCCTACCACACATCGCTTGCCGATTATTCTTCGCGTTTTGTTGTTGTGCATCCTTTGTTTTAATATTTGCCGCTTCAAGGCATTTAAACAATGGTGACTCAGCTGTGTTCTGCTCAGCTGTGTTCTACTCATGACGTCACCGCCGGAAATGACCGAAGTTGTTGTTTCCAGAGCTACGAACGATCGTTACTAACTGACAACATTTGTATGCTGTTATAATCGTGATTTATTAAAAAATACATAAATAATAAAAAAAACAAATGGCACATTTCACAATACAAATGCAACCTCTATCATATAGCCTACTAAGCCCACTAACAGGTGCTAAAAGCATTTCCTAAGCTCTTTAACGAGCTGCTCAATACAAATTAATGTTAAAATCTGACGGAGGCCTCTTTACCAAGGTCTGAACACTGTTTAATATCTCTTAAATTAAGAATCAGATTTAAAAGTTGTGAAACACGAATAATGACAGAAAGATGTATAATATTTTAAAGTTGGAATGAGGTTTCTGAGTGAAAGTATGAAGGAACAGTTAGTAGTTGAAGTCGCATAAAGATTTTTCAAGTTATGAATGAGAAAAGTAATAGCCATCGATTCCCGACCGAGCTGAACGTTTTGATGTTTGAACGGAGTTTCTGCGATGTGGAATGTGGGAGAAGAAGAGGTGCAAAATAACCCGGCGGAATAATAAAGAATTTTGTGCGTAGCATAACAGATAGTTGGAATGCTGTGTCAGCCACTAAATAAAAGAAAAGAGCATTCCATTCAGTCATTCATTCATTACACACTTTTTCTGATGACGAAATGGGATTAAATAGGGGTAAATCAGAAATGAATACAAGTGCAAACATAAACACAGGATTTGGTTAAAAAAATATAATCTGAGAAAATAAAACAGATTTCATAGGAACATAAAAATACTAGTCATGTAAGAAATAATGTAAGACGGGTTGTGCATTGGCTTAATTTGGAAACACTTTCCTCAATAGTATACTTTTCGACCAACTTTCTTCCGAAGAAATATTCCAAATTAAAATAGGTGAGAGTCTTATCCAATAAGAGACAATGAAAACAAATGAATTGCTTAAAATCTGTGGAATCTCAGCTTGCTAATCGATATCTTGTTTGTGCAGATCCGATAAGTAATAAGGGTATTTTACCGTGAGTTCTGTGTTAAGTGCGTCAGCATTTTTTCGCTCAGGGCTCATTCAGAGCCTTTGTTTGTTATTACCCTTGTGTTTCGTTTAGCTAAAAATGGTTAATATTGTCTGATAGCTGAGTTTCTTCCCGTTAAGTGGGTATGACACATTCGTAGTTTGTTAAATGTTAAGAAGCCCTCAGACGCTGTTTTTTGCAAAATGTTGCACAATACGTGGGGGGATGAAGGAACGAAAACCCAGACAAATCAAATGAATTAAGTGAGATACCACTAGAGGGCAGTGAGAACGTTGTGTTGCTGCTTAGCTGAACTGACACCCTAAAAGTGCATTGTTCAATTAGAAAGAGATTTGACATGCATGATTTCTTCTGCTTATAATACGCTTGTAATACCTTCATAAGACTTATTAATTCAAGTCTGATTTATAACAATGCAATAAGTTGCAGAGGAAGGGTTAACAGCTGTATGAGCTGTTTAACTGTTGGATGTCCTTTCTATTAAATGCGGTTTTAATAGGAGTTACTTTAAAGGTTAAAGCTGCCCTTTTCTTTTCCTTTTGAACACTAACACACCTCTTCACTTTGTGTTCTGTTTCAATGTGGCATGGATCATTCATATCCCAATGAAAAGCAATGCATTTGCTTGTTAAAGAGAAAAAGCTATGTTAATAAAAATGTTAACGTTAGGTTACAAGATAATGCATATATGTCAATGTGTATCGCATTCTAGTGATTTGATTTGTTTTAATTGTATTTAAATGTTGCATTTGAAATGTTCCCTGCCTCCCCAAAATGTATGTGTGTGTGGTAAATACAAAAATAAATAGAGTTCTGTGTCCGTTTATGCTTTCCCACATCTGAATAAAAATGCACCCTTAAAAATGTGAAATGTCTCTAGAAAGAGGTGTCTGTGATCAATACGCCATCTTTGTCACTAACTTGGCCTGACCTTTGTTGGGGACATTGTGGCCTACTTACTGTAGAAGAATGTCCAAAGAGCTTTCAGCAACTGATTTTTTGAGTGATGACAACTGTATATATAAATGTAAGGTAATGATGCAGCAGATATCCTCTGCCACCGTCTCCCTCTCTCTCTTTTCCCAAGCTCTGCAGTTTTGAGTGTGCCTCCTCCACTGTTTTTATCTAGCCCACCATTCCCCTCTCTGCTCTTCTCTGCGCACTCCTCTGCAGAGCATGGAGAGCTGTCTGTGGACGCATCGACACCGGCCAATCACGCGCCATATCCTCAAAGGTGCAGGACACAACAGACCAATAGAAGAACAGCACGGGGCGGGATGTGTCCAGTCAACTCACACCTCCACACAGAAAATCAGTGGGGTTGTAAAGAGACAGAAAGGGAGCAAGTGGAGCCGCGGCACGGGGACACACAACAAGGACACAGACACAGACACAGAGACAGAGACACCGCGGGATAACGGCTGCCATGCCCGGGTCCATGTGAGCAGCTCTAACAGGTCCACCGCAGCATGGCGACGGTAGAAGGAACTGGACCGCGCGAGGAAGGGGAGTACGGAAGGGCGGCAAAACGGCAAAAAACGGAGGAAAGGGAGGTGGAGGTGGAGGCGAAGGAGAGAGATGAGAGAGAGGAGGGGGAGGAGGAGGAGCTGGAGGAGGGGGAGGATTCGGACTCCGGCTCGCTGGCCGGTAACGAAGAGTCAGCAGGGGAGAACCGGGCCAGGTGGAGCGGCAGCCAACACGAAGCAGGACGGAAGGTAAGATCCCCTCTACCGCTCCCTGCAGCGATCACACGTGAGTGCGCGCGCGCCCATGTGTCATGGTGTCAGTGGAGCATCAACACCTGTCACTGCTGCCGGACATTGCAATGCACACATTAAAACTTTTGTTGTCCTTTATTCAAGAAAATATTCACAAAAACAAAAAAATTACATAGTAGGGTACACAGGTAAATATACAAAGTAAATAACAAATAAATGCATATAAAGAAAATAATGATTTAAAAAAAAAGGTAACATTTGAAGTAAAATATTTCTCAAATATCAAATTTGGTTTTGATTGCTTTCTTATTTTTTAATATTGGTGCCATATTGTTGTAAAGTAGAAATGTGCCAGCAAAATTGTTCGTCAGTACATTTCTTCTTGTGAATATGAAATATTCCCCAAAATAAAATTAATTGTAAAAAAAACTATATTTGTATCAAATCCATCACCTTTAAAGTTTATAAAAATTTCCTCATCCTGAAGTCGTATCGTTTGTCCCATTTTGTTTTCCGAAAATACTCAACAGACCAAAACCTTTTAGTCCAAACAGTGATAGAATAAATGACATTGTCCATTCAAACCTCTACTGATGTGAGACTGATAAAGGTCGGATTTCAGAAGCTTTCCTGTGGCTCTGTTTGGTGTTATCCTTTTAAAATGTATTATTATTTTCCTCAAGTAAAATACAAAATTAACATCTGCTTAGTTCAGTTGTGGCTCAGTTATGGCGCATTTCCACTGCAGGGCCTCGCACGGCTTAGTATGGTATAGTTAGGCCTTGGTAGGCCAGGCTCACTTTATGCTGCGTTTCCATTACAGTTTAGTAGCTGGGGCAGTAACTATAGCAACGCAGTGTAGGCGGAGCCGTGACATCATCTTCAATGCGAACCACAAAACCAACATCAGCCGTTAGCTGTTAGCAATTAATATTATGGTTAAGATTTACTACGGCTTCATTGTTGTATGACTATGGCCAATCATTTTTTGGTACTTATTACGAAAACTGTCAGACGTCTGTCTGCCGTCCGCTTTTTGGAAAATTTTACCACAAAAGACTTACCTCTAGCCGATTCGATTGCGACATATACGAGGCCTGGCATGGTGCGAGTGTTGTTACCCGGATGTCTGTATTTAATTTGGTCGCTGCCATGAGGTGGTACTGCGTCCTGTCAGACCCCAAACATGAACAAATGAAACAGGTCAAAGACTTGTTCTATACTCCTCGACA